ATGCGGTGGGGCTACCGGAGGGGGAGGCTGGTTGAGGTTGTGGGTCTCAGGGAGGGGGTGTGTGCGTGTGTGTGGTGATTTCGGATATCCCGGTGGGAGGGTGGCGTGGCCGGCTTGGCCACATCGGCTTGGTGCGGGCGTGGGTGGTGTCCCTTCTGCCCTGCGTCCCTGGGGACAGACCCTTTATCCCCTGGGACGGACCCTTCGTCCCCTGGGACAGACCCTTTATCCCATGGGGCAGACCCTTTCCTACCCTGGGATTGATCCTCCATCCCTTGGGACGGACCCTGGACAACACTCTTCGTCCCCTGGGAAAGACCCTGGATCCCCTGGGATAGACCCTCCAGCCCCTGAATCAGACCCTCCAACCCCTGGGACGGACCCTTTGTCCCCTGGGATGGACCTTCCATCCCTGGGGACAGACCCTTCATCTCCTGGGACAGAGCCTTCTTTCCCTGGATCAGACCCCCCAACCCCCGGGACAGACCCTTTATCCCCTGGGACTGACCCACCCATCCCTTTATGCACCCCTTCCCCAGCCTGTAAAAGTTGTCCCTCCCCATCCCCACTCCCTGTGCACCCGCACCCGCTCCCAAAGATGCCAACCAGATGCGTGACCCCTGCCAAGCAAACGCTGGGGCCTGGTGGCTTCGCTCCCCAAGGCTGGGACGTTGGGTAGGGGGTTTCCTGGCAGCTGCCCCAGCGCCTCTCCTTCTCCTCCGGTGTTGGGGGGGTGTCTGGTGAGCGGAGGGCTGGGGAGGCGGGGAAGCGCTGCTTTGGGGGGCTGTTTGCAGCCTGATGCTGCTCCGGCTGGTGGTGAAACCCTTTGTGCAGCATGTTTGGGGGGGGGATTGAGAGGATTTGCACTTGCGGATGGGCTGCTCCTCTCGCCCCTGTGCCCAGCAGACACCTCATCCTCTGAGACAGTATCCAGCCGAGCGTTTCGCTTGGCAGTGTGAGGGTGTTCGGAGGATGGCAGGCAGGGAGGTGTTTTCCCATCAGCTCCACCAGCCTGAGGACCTGATGCAATAAGTCTCCGGGTGAGTAACCCTAGGTTAGACGAGTGGCTGGATTAAAGCCAGCAGGGCTGCGGGGGCTTGGTGGGCAAACACACCCTTGGGAGCTGGTCACCACAAGGAGGGTGGAACAGGAGCGAGCGGTGAGTCGAGAGCTGAGCTGTGGTGGCAGAAGCATCTCTGAAGGGCTGAGTCCTTGCTGCCGACTCCCTGAGAGCCTGAGCTGCGTTGCGGGAAGGAACTGGGAGGAACCCCGTGAACCCCAGATTTGAAGACTCGTGGAGATGCACTTGAACCTTGCTGGAGAAGCTGGAGTCAGAATCAGGCTGGTGCGAGCACAGCCCAGGGGTGCTCGGTTCTGATACTGCTCCCCTCATCTCCAGCACCAGCCTCCTCCTGCTGGCCCAGGTACGGGTGCTTTCATGCCACTGTGGGATACGACCGCGCTTTTCTGGGGCCAGAAAATGTTTTACTGCGGGCCAGAAATCGCAACCATCAGGGGACAGGGAGCAGAGAAACGGCAAGAGGAAGGCTAGGAACAAAAGCTCTGGGGCATGTGGAAAGGATCTTGGTTTGAAGAACTGAGTCGGTGGAGGATGTTTCCCTGGAGCAGCCCTGGGGAAGCGCTGCATTTGCTTTGGTTACAGCTGTGCCGTAGCCCGAGACGTACGTTTTCTGGCGATGTGCATTTTCGTGTCTCTGCTGTTGCCTCTGGAGCATCCTGCTGGGATAATGTGGAGGGGAGGAACCCGGTGAGGCTTCCAGCTCACGTCCCTGTGGCATGGGCAGCCCCTAGCACTTGCCCCAGGCAGCTGGGCAGTCCTGGAGCTGCTCTCCGAGCGCTTGGCATCCTCCAGCACCCTGGGGATGGGGTTTGCTGGCAGCCCGCCTCCGATGGCACGCTCGGCACATGCCACGCTGTTCCCAGGACCTGCCTGGTCGGGGCTCACAGGTTGCAGCTCTTCAACAGGCTGCAGACATCGCGCTGTAGCAACATGAGGGCAGGCAGGGTTGTATGGCTGCTGGTGTTTGAGACACCGCTGTGATGCTTCTCCCTCCCTGCTGCCTTCTGAGCTTGGTCTAAAGAGAAACGAGATCATTCACAGCTGCATCTGGCACATCTCGTCCTGGGGACGTCCCCGCTCCTGCGGCCTGCACCGGTGGGCAGCGAGGGACTCTGTGTCAGTGCAGGCAAGGCGGTGTGGTTTGTAAAGCCATTGCTTGCGGGGGGCCAGGGGACCCCGCTGCCTGGCCAGCCTGTGCTGGGGGTGAGGGGCGTGGGCCCCGTGAGCTGGGGTTTCCAGTGTGGGAAAATCCTCCGAGGGTTCAGGCACCGGGGCTCAGCTGCGGGTGAAGCTGCTCTGTGCCCTGGAGGGTTCTCTCTGCCATGCAGCCCCCAGCAGCCCCAGTCCCCGCTCCTCTTCCAGCGACCCTCCTCCCTCACCCCAAACCAGTGGGGTTTCGTGGTGCTGGAGCGGCCGCTGGCTACCCTGTCATTTACTAGTCTGCCCATTTGTAGCTGAATTTCATCAGCTTTGTTTGCCTTTAGCACTCTCAGTGTGGCATGTGAAGGGTCTGGGAGGAGTAACTCCGTCTTTCGCTCCCGTTACACCCAGTGGAAAGAGTTTCCCACTGAATTCAGTGGAAATCTCTGCCCAGGGAAAGCTGGCTGGAGCTGCTTGTGCCACCATAAATCAGGGCTTGTTCTCTGGGAGCCGCCAGTGTGCCGAGGACGTAATACCACTTAATCGATGAAAAAGCAATGCTTGCAGCCTTCTGGCCTGGCTCAGGGTTGCCAGCTCTCATAAGGGGCTCTTTATGCGAGAGCCTTGGCTTGCGTTCCGAGGTGTGTGTGTGGGGAGGGTAGTGAGAGGAAAAGGTAAATTTTTTGGCACAGTGGAGTAGTCAGGCGTTAAAAACGGTGCTCCCGGCAGGGTGCAAAACCGCAAAATGATGTGGAAAAAAAAATAATTCACACTTTCCTCCCCCTCCCCCCCCAAGTCTTACAGTTTGTCTTTTAAACCTCTAAAATACCTGTTGAGGGACCTGAGTCATCACTTTCTGCACCTTGACTTGATTTCCCGGCAGCTGACTTTGCGAGGTTGCTTGTCTGGATTGCAGGAGCAGGGGAAAAAGTAATTCCGAGGAACTCAGGTGAGTTTGGAAATCATAACAATGTTGCTAAATCACCAGGAAAACAATCAGCTGTGGCGCTCGGCATGCAGGGCTCTGCTCTTTATCTGCCTGCTGCTCTTGCTGAGGCTTTGGGTTTGGGAGCTGCCGGATTTTCTGCCTGTAGCCAGAAGGAAAAAGCTCACATCTGAAACAGTCGCTGTCCCCCAGCCCCGGATTTGCCATCGTCACAGGATTCCCGAAGCGGAGGATTCAGGAGGAAGCACCAGCCGTGGCGCGGCTGACAGTAAACATGAGACGAGCTGGAGATGCAAGTGTTGCTGTTGGACAGCAAGTCCAGGGCTGTGCACCCGCTCAGCCTCAGGTTTATGTTCCCTCCAGGGCTGTCCAAAGCTGTCGGGAAGGGGTCGAGAATTTACCAG